GGCTGGAGCCTACTGGAGATAGCTATGGCTACTCCCTAGAGGTGGTGACCGTCACTGCAGCCTAACCACTAGGAGTAACCACCTACATTTATCGTGCCACCTCTGCTACCCCGCCGCCACTGCCCCACATAACAGGGGGCGGCAGGCTGAAGGACCTAACATCCACCTGTGGGGTTCCCTAGGGCTTTGCCCCACAAGCTTCATTCCAGGCTGGCGGCTGCCAGAACGCAAGTGGGACGAGTAGTTCTCGTTCCTATCCTGCGTCCCGGCAGCCGCCCTCCACGCGGGGCCTGCAGCCTGCCTCTCTTGCCGGGTAGGAGGGGCATTTCTCCTCCCCCCGGCAATTACATGCGACGTTATCGATGGGTTATCACTGAGGGGAGGAGGACTGGCAAGGCCCACTTCCCCCGAGCCTCCCATTAACCCCAGGGGACTTAGGGGTAGGAGTTAGTACAAGGCCAGGGAGTTTCCACACTCCAGTGGACCATGACCCTGTACCTCTGGGGCCTCCTGCTGCTCCGAGATCCCCCACAGTTTAGCCTGGGACCGCAAGGTACCAGTTTTCATAGATGGCAACAGGGAGGCACTGCAGGTCTCGATGATTGGAGAGGCTATGCACTGGCAAGGGAGACATGCAGAGCTGCTCCCTTTTTCGCACTGGGCTAGCCAGCAGTGGCAGCTGCAAGCTAGAAGGCATGCAAGCACTATCTAGGCTACCACTTCTGCAAATTTATTCTTCTGTTGTCATGATTCTCTGACAATTGCTGACAGGCTGTTCTCAACATCTAAATGATGGCAAACTCAGTCTCCTAAAGAAGGAAGAGCATCAAAGGGTCTCTAGCGTATGGACGATTGAAAAATTAACGATTCTGGAAACGTCGCCAAATGTTATTTGTGCTAGGAAAAATAATTTTCATTCTCATCTCAGGCAGAGGATTCCATAACATTTGCAGGTAGGCCTTGGGACCGGACTACCCGTTAAACAATATAAGCACGGGCTAGGATACCATAGCAAGAGAGGGCACCATAGAATTCCGACACCATAGCTGCAGCCTTCGAATCATTGGGATTGCCAAACACAAATAGGCCATATTCTGAGACAGTGAATTTGTATCCTTTGTGATTTTTGTTACTGAGTTGACCAACTTTAGGCTCTGTCCGCTGAAATCTTAGCTGGGAACCATTAAAAGGCCTGAATTGGTACCATAGAAAGAGCCAATGAAACGGCAATGGAAGGGCCGAAAGGGTACCATCAGAAAGGCCGCAGGGCACTCTTGGAAGGTCCGATGGGGTACCGATGGAAGAGCCAAGTGACATTATTTGAAAGCATGAGGGGCTCCACTGAATAGGCGCTGACGAAGTACCGACTCGGGTACTTTATTGTGATTGGAGGGCTTAAGGAACACCACTGGGAGGGTGAGATGGGTCTATTTTATGTTCTATCACCATATGTATAGGACAGAAATGGCCCCTATGTTCTATTAATACATAATATCCATTACTTATCTATATATTTATATTCATTATATAATCTATTAATATATATAATATTAACTATATTATATATATATATAATACATACATTTACATATTATCCAATAACATACAATACATTAAAACACACACCCACACACAACACACACTACACATAGATTATTATCTTATCCGATGATCACATCCACACACACGATTTGATCAATTCTATTTTCATTATCGATACTACAGTATTTATATTATGTTCTATGCATTATCATTATA